GGCATCTTCTATATGTCATGCACCCACATAGGACCTGGATGTAGGGATGAACATAACAGGACTGGTGCACTGAAGGAATTCACAATTAAGCTTATGGGGTTTAGGGTGGATAAACAGAAGTCTTTGTAGCTAAGTGTGGTAGGGTGTGAGGGGTAGCATAGAAGAGAATAGATAGGTTAGCTTTCAGCAGAGGAGATGACATGAATGAAGATACAGAAACAAAAATTTATGCATCAAAGGTGAGGCATGGAAAGTGGGTTGGGGCTAAATAGTAAAGGGCCTTGAAAGCTTTCAGAGAACTTCGGCAATGGGGAGCAATAGAAGGTTTGAAATCAGGGCCGTTTCTTTCTTTTTTTAAAAAATATATTTTATTGCGTTTTAGGTTTTGGGGTACATGTGAAGAACATGCAAGATTGTTGCATAAGGTACATACATGGCAATGTGGTTTGCTGCCTTCCTCCCCATCACCTGTACCTGGCATTTCTCCCCATGTTATCCCTCCCCAACTCCCCGCCCCCCACTGTCCTTCCCCTAGTTCCCCCTAACGGACCCCAGTGTGTGATGCTCCCCTCCGTGTCCATGTGTTCTTATTGTTCAACACCCACCTGTGAGTGAGAACATGCGGTGTTTGATTTTTTGTTCTTGTGTCAGTTTGCTGAGAATGATGGTTTCCAGGTTCATCCATGTCCCTACAAAAGACATGAACTCATTGTTTTTTATGGCTGTATAGTATTCCATGGTGTATATGTGCCACATTTTCCCTGTCCAATCTATCATCAGTGGGCATTTGGGTTGGTTCCAAGTCTTTGCTATTGTAAACAGTGCTGCAGTGAACATTCGTGTGCATGTGTCCTTATAATAGAACGATTTATAATCCTTCAGATATATACCCAGTAATGGGAATTTCTGTTTCTCAGTCCTTGAGGAATTGCCACACTCTTCCGCAATGGTTGAACTAATTTACACTCCCACCAACAGTGTAAAAGTGTTCCTATTTCTCCACATCCTCTCCAGCATCTGTTGTCTCCAGGTTTTTTAATGATCGTCATTCTAACTGGCGTGAGATGGTATCTCAATATAGTTTTGATTTGCATTTCTCTAATGACCAGTGATGATGAGCATTTTTTCATATGTTTGTTGGCCTTATACATATCTTATTTTGTAAAGTATCTGTTCATATCATTTGCCTACTTTTGAATGGCCTTGTTTGTTTTTTTCTTGTAAATCTGTTTTAGTTCTTTGTAGATTCTGGATATTAGCCCTTTGTCAGATGGGTAGATTGCAAAATTTTTTTCCCATTCTGTTGGTTGCCAGCTCACTCTAATGATTGTTTCTTTTGCTGTGCAGAAGCTGTGGAGTTTGCTTAGGTCCCATTTGTTTATTTTGGCTTTTGTTGCCAATGCTTTTGGTGTTTTACTCATGAAGTCCTTGCCTATGCCTATGTTCTGAATGGTTTTGCCTAGGTTTTCTTCTAGGGGAAAACAGGGACATTTCTTATTGGAATTGTGCTTTAGAAGGAGAACAGCAAAGACAGAGTGAAGGGCTAGAAGGAGAAAGCCTAGAAGCAGTTAAGAAGCTCTGTAATAAGCCTAGAAAGGTTAGTAAGTGGGGATGAGAGGTGACTTGAGGGGCGTTTGGGATTCAAATATTGATTTGACAGATATTAATTGTGTACCAATTTGGTGCCAGATCCTGTGCTAGGCTGTGTGTTAGAGATGCTGAGGAGAATCACGTATAGCTTCTGCCCAAGATCTAGTGGGGACACAACCACTATTGCCAAGAGGAATTGCCTTTCAGAGGTTGTTCTGAGGTTCCTGCATGGAGACGTGTGGATGGTAGCACTTCATTTCTGAGTTTATGGAACATGGATATGGGAGGAGAGTTGAGAGGGGGAAAGATAATGAGCTTAGTTTTGAATATGGTTTATCTGTAGACTTTCTGATACTTGGCAGGGTATTGATTATATTAGTCTGGAGCTCAGAAGAGAAGATGACACAAGGGTGATTATTCTTTTTCTTCTGCCAAACACATTATAAATGGGTTTATGAGATAACTTATTTTCTTTATTTTTAATTTTTAAATTTATCCTTTATTTATAACATATGTATGTATGATGGAGTCTCACTCTGTTGCCCAGGCTGGAGTGCAGTAGTGCGATCATAGCTCATTGCAGCCTCAAACTCATGGTTGGAAGTAATCCTCTCATCTTGGCCTCCTGTGTCCATGAGATGATAAGCATGAACCACCATGCCTGGCTGTGAGACAACTTTAAAATGTTCTAGCTTTCTGTTGTAGATTCCAGCTTTCTGTTTTAGAAAACCATATTGTAGAAAAGATTTCCAGTTGCCCACCTGTTCTAAGATGTACCTGGGACTTGCTTTAATCATGTGTGGTAAGATGATAGACACAGAGACAACAGCTTTGAAAGAAGAGTCTTTTATTTCACAGTTCCCAATAGGAGGTGATATGCTGTGCCCTGCGGGGCTGCTCAGGGAAACACTGGAGTTGGTCAGGAGGAAGAAGGAAGGGGAAAGCACGAGACAGAGGCTTCGTTGTATTGTTCATAGGGAAGCACTGAGTAAGGCACTGGTGAGCAAGTTTAGGATTGGGTAGTTTGAATAACTTCGGCAGGCTCCAGGCTCTCAAGATGGTCCCTAGATAACCTAGTTATCAGGTGCCTGGCCCTGAAGTGATTGAAGGCAAGTCATAGTTTCCTGGACTCCTTTTCTACCTCCTAAGCAAAGCAGGTAGATGGGGAGGGGCAGTATGGATTCAGGATCGGCTGATTTGCTTGTCAAAGGTGTTTTCTCAGGCAAGTTGTTTGTTAACTCTAGGAATTAGCTACCCTTGGGAGGGCAAGCCCTCTCTGGGTCTGCAAGGCCTGAAAGTGTCAGAGCATAAAATACAGAAAATAAACATGATCAGTGCACTACCCAGTATCCACTGTCCTTTCCATATTTATAGAACTCATATGTGACAGGGTACACAACTCATGTACTGCATTCCTGTTCTTTTCAGCTAGGGGTTGCCAAGGGGCTATAGGCAGAAGTCATTTGACAATGCCCTCAGGGAAGTTTTTCTATGAGCTAACTCTTGGGAGGCATGTCCTGTGTGCTTCCTCAGACTCTCATCTCACAACTTTTTCTTTTTTGTCTGAAATGTGGAAATTTTATGGCTGGATCTCCAGTTGCCATGTTGGACCATGAGGTAATCTTCAGAATGGAAGATAGAAGAAGCTGGGATCTGTGATCACCACGGAACCACCATACCAGCCTGGACAGTTTGCCTCTGCACTGCTTTGGGAGACACAAATATACCTCTACTCTAAGCCACTTATTTGTGTTTTGTACTTAAACCTAATTCTTCCTTTTTCACACATTGTTGACTTTATCTCCGTCTACATGATCAACTCTTTACTCTTACCTTTCCTCTTAAATGACCTTCTACGGCAATTAGAAGTAAAATCTTATCTTTACTCCCACAGTCTTTCAGGTTTTAAACTGATATCTCATTAAATTTAGGGAGGGAGTGGGACATAAAAAATACACAGACCTTAGCAATTAGTTTTAAAAAAAGTGAACATAAGCATGGTTTAACATAAAATAAGTACTGTTTAACTCTGCATATAGTCCTGAATGAAGATCCTTAATAGCTCCGTGTTAAATAGAGGAGCGCTTAGGTTAAGAACAGAAGTGTTGTTCTTTTTGTTTTTTTGTTATTTAAAAAAGACATTTATTCAGCATCATGATCAGACTATTACATTTAGCAATCAACAGCACGGGTGCAAAAAAAAAAAAAAAAAGAAAAAAAAATCTACATTAAAACCCTTTGTTGGAATGCTTTACACTTTCCACAGAACAGAAACTAAAATAACCTGTTATACAATCAGTCACAAATACAGTCCTCGAGTTTTTTGCCCATACACATGAGTATTGTCTAAATCATGTCTTTGTAGCAGCTAGGCCCTGCCACCACTGTGCTTGGCTGAGTTCACAAATCTGTTGTAACCTGTAGCTTCCCTGTCACTTCTCTGGCTCTCTTTTGCTAAGTTTTGTTTCCTAATTAAAATCTTCTGCCACTGCCATAGCTACTGCTGCTACTGGAGCCGCCATAGCCACCTTGGTTTCGTGGTTTGGCAAAGTATTGGCCACCACCACCATAGGGGCCAGAGCTTCTGCCTCCAAAGTTTCCTCCCTTCATGGGTCCAAAATTAGAAGACTGATTGTTGTAATTGCCAAAATCATTGTAGCTTCCACCTCCTCCAAAATTGCCTCCATCATTACCAAATCCATTATAGCCATCCCCACTGCCACCATATCCACCACCATGATGGCTGCCACTGAAGCCATCATGACCACTGAAGTTTCCTCCATGACCAAAGTTGTCATTCCCACCGAAACCACCTCCACGACCACCACCAAAGTTTCCAGAACCACTTTGACCTCTGGCTGGATGAAGCACTTGCCATCTCTTGCTCTGACAGGGCTTTCCTAACTCCATAGCTGTGGCCATTCACAGTATGGTATTTCTGAATGACAGTCTTATCCACGGAGTCATGGTCGTCAAAGATTACAAAGGCAAAGCCCCTTTTCTTGCCACTGCCTCGGTCAGTCATGATTTCAATCACTTCAATTTTTCCATACTGTTCAAAATAATGTCTTAGGTGATGTTCTTCAGTGTCTTCTTCAATGCCACCAATGAATATTTTTTTCACAGTTAAGTGGGCACCTGGTCTTTGAGAATCGTCTCTTGAGACAGGTCTCTTTGGTTCCACAACTCTTTCATCCACTTTGTGTGGCTTTGCATTCATGGCTGCAACCACCTCCTCCACAGCTGCATACCTGACAAACCCAAAGCCCCTGGAGCGCTTGGCGTTTGGATCTCTCATTACCACACAGTCAGTGAGCATTCCCGTTGCTCAAAATGGCTCCTCAGGCTCTCATCAATTGTTTCAAAGCTCAGCCCTCCAATGAAGAGCTTCCTCAGCGGTTCCGGCTCTTTAGGAGACTGACTTAGACATGATCGCAGGGAGAAGACAGACTTCAATGATGCTTCTTCGGTGGCGTCCACTGGCAGAAAGGAGCAAACTGACAAATGTATCTCAGAAGTGTGGTTCTTACGCTTCTCTTGGCAGTATTATAGCAGACTAGAAATACAGAGTGGGAGACTTTCCACTGTAAGTCCAAGACCAGGGTGTAATCTTGGCCACTTTCTGGTGAGGCTTCTCTTCCTGGCTTGTAGCTTACTGCCATCTCTCTGGATGTAAGCCAGGCTCCAAGGAGCATGCCTTTCAATTCTAATCCAGGATCAATGGCATTGAACTTTCAAAATTTTATGCACTTAAACCCCACCCCAGGTGGATAGTGGCTCCTAGTGGAATTCCTTTTCTGTATCTCCGAGTTCTCCTTCCTGAGGAGTGAGACTTTTGACTTTTCTAATTCTGAGCCTCCTCCATTTGGTACTGCTCATCTTTCTGTTTTGGGTGGCTCAGAGCCCTACACTCTTTGAAATTGAGTCCAAGTCCTCCATCATCTTTGTGACCTAGATCTCTTCCTTCTCTACGTGACACTGGATACTACTCATTTGCATTTTAACAAAGAGCTGCTAAGTTTAGGATCATAGATGGAATGTGACAATTCATATATCATCTGTGAAGAGGACTGACTAACCTGAAAGAGCCAGAGAACCAGAGAGGATTCCCTAAATTGTGCTCTACAACAGACTAAATTGGGCAGAGGTAAGAGACAGGTACAGTGAAGCAACAGGTAGGGGGCAGATTTATGAGAAAAATATCAAATCAGTGAGGAGAAGCTATATATCAATAGAAAGAACAAAGGTCAGGACTGCCTAATTGCTGACATGATGAGACTCAGTGAGGGGGTGTTCCTGTTTCTATGTGGGATTCAATTTACACTGGGAATTCTGGTGAATGGTTTCATTGGGTTGGTCAATGGTAGGAGCTGGTTCAAGACCAAGAAAATGTCTTTGTCTGACTTCATCATCACCAACCTGGCACTCTCGAGGATCATTCTGCTATGGATTCTCTTGACTGATGGTTTTTTAATGGTATTCTTTCCCAATGCACATGATTCAGGGATACCAATGCAAATCATTGATGTCTTCTGGACATTTATGAACCATCTGAACATTTGGCTTGCCACCTGTCTTGGCGTCTTCTACTGCCTGAAAATCGCCAGTTTCTCTCACCCCACATTCCTCTGGCTCAAGTGGAGAGTTTCTAGGGTGATTGTATGGATGCTGTTGGGTGCACTGCTCTTATCCTGTGGTAGTACCGTATCTCTGACCAATGAGTTTAAGTTCTATTCTGTCCTTAGGGGAATTGAGGGCACCAGGAATATGACTGAACATTTCAGAAAGAAGATGAGTGAGTATTATCTGATCCATGTTCTTGGGACTTTGTGGAACCTGCCTCCCTTAATTATGTCCTTGGCCACCTACTCTCTGCTTGTCTTCTCCCTGGGGAAGCACAGACGGCAGATGCTGCAAAATGGTATGAGCTCCAGAGATCCAAGCACGGAAGCCCACAAGAGGGCCATGAGAATCATTCTCTCCTTCTTTTTTCTCATCTTATTTTACTTTCTTGCCTTTTTAGTTGCATCGTCTAGTCGTTTCCTACCAAAACCCAAGGTGGCTGTGATGATTGGCGAAATAATTACAATGTTTTGTCCTGCTGTCCATTCATGTATTCTCATCCTGGGGAACAACAAGCTGAAGCAGACATTTGTAGAGATGCTCCGGTGTGAGTCTGGTCATCTGAAGCCCAGATCCAAGGGACTCATTTTCTCTTAGAGTAACAAAAGGCATGGAGTGGAGCCCATGAGCCTTGTGGCCTGGCTCAAGACTACAGGACTCTTCCAGACCCTCCTATGGTACCAGTTCCATAACATCACTAGGAGAGAAACACTGACTGCTTTGCCTCTGGTCCCTGGAGACCTGTTTCAAGGCAAAAGCCACGCTTCTCACAGCCTCTCTCTGTATGGTAGTTGTGGAGTGGGGAGGGTACAGGAGTATAGTAGTGTTTTGGAAATAACAATGTTATGAGAGCACTCTCACTGTAAACACATGGTGCTGTATTTTAAAAATCATCAGCTCAACGTAGAGACTCTGATTACTAGTTTCAACTTAAATTAGATACTAACAGTGATACACATAAAATTACATAACAGTCTTGAAGGAAAGAGCAAAAGTTTTGCAGTCCTGTAGATGTGGGTTTGAATTCTGATTCTGGTCAAGATTTTTGGCCTCAGGTGAGTTACTTCAATTATCTGCCTGATCCCCTGTTCTGATCTCTACTGGCTATTTTAGCACAGTGTGTTGTGTAAAGTACTCAGTAAGTGAAGGCCATTATTGTAGCTAATATTGGATTGTGCAGCAATGGCAATTTCTAAATGATTCCAGTTTCTAAAAACTCATTGTATGATGATGAAAACAGTGGAAAGAAGATCAAAACCTTTGGATTCTAGATTCCAATTCAATCTTGCATTTCATGATCATTCTGCTAAAGTACATTTTCAAGTAATTTTTTTTGGGCAAAAGATTGGGCAAAAGACCAACTAGTTTTATTTTTAATTTTTTGTTTTTGACCAAGATACCTACCTGGTTTTAAAATTACAGTTTTATCAAATGTAATAGAAGCATATTTTATAAGTTTAATCAATTTTATTTAGGCATTGATTTACTTCCTGTTAACAATTTTGACATGTCAATGAAAAGATACTGCTTAATATCCTTAAGACTTCTCAAATATGTAAACATATTCATTTAGGATACATGGCATTATTCAGAAATGTGGATTTCTAGCACTAATCGGGCTCTCAGAAGTGGAGTGTTTGTGGCTAAGAATGTGGACCCTGAAACCACACAACTTGTGTTTAAATCTGGCTTTGGCCCTTTTGAACTGGGTGACCTTGGGGAAACTACTTAACCAGTCTCTAACTTTCTGCACTTGTGAAATAGAAATAGTAATTGTGTCTGTGTGTGAGTGTGTGTGTTGGGATAAGGTTGTTGGAAGGAATGGGTGAATTAACACATGAAAAGTGTTTAGAGTGCTACATGGAGTAAATATACAATAAAACTGCTATCGTTGTTGCTGTTGTTATTTGGTGAAAAGGAGCCTATTTTGACATAATAAAAGGAGCATTACATTACGTGATTGGACATACGTAACCAGAAGTTAATTTTAGGGTTGTTCGGATTTACATCTTCATTTCTAAAATGACAGGAATAAAACACCCTTTGGTCTGCACAGTGTGCATTAGCCCATCGGCAAACACCTCCCCAGCCAGCAGGTGGGGGCTCAGGAGAAAAATCCTATTACTGCTAGATAAAATAAAGAACTGACTTGTTCACAATACATTTGAGCTTGCAGAGTAGTAAATTTTGTTGGCCCCACTATAAATTGTCATTGTGACTTGGTGGAGCTGGGCCAATGGTCTAGGCAACATTTCCAGGTTAACTCTGAAATACATAATTTCAGTTCTTGAGTGGAGTTTCCTGGCCATGTTCTGTCTAGCCTCAGTTTCCATTTGTGGCCAGACAGGGTGTTCATAGCCAGAGAAGAAAGATTTCTGAATTGTCCTTGGCTTTTCAGGCTTCTCCCCTTATTGCCTAGCTAGCAGATCCCCTTGAGAAACGGATGAGTTCTGGCAAGTGTCTGGATGTTGCTGTGATATTCTAGGAATGAATACATTTATCGCTTAATTTTGATTCTGGCTAACCTTGATTCCAGTTCATTCCTTCCTCTCACAAACATTTATTTAATACTTATTGTGCACCAAGCATTGTGTGAGACACTGTACGAGATGCTTGTTCCTTGAACGCTGTTCCTGTTCTCAAAAACATTACATTTAGTGGGTAATAAAGACACAGACACAAGTGTTTAATTTGTGATCACTGGAACAGATGCTTCAGGTACAACAAAGGGATCATCCTATCTTGAGGGTCCTGATGATGCAGGTGATCCTTCTCTCTAGATCCTTTTTGTGGCAGCCATGAAAATGTGTGCTCAGATCTCTGCTGTGGAGGCACAACTGGCTGACGGTGCTAGCTTTGGAGATCCACTACCATGAGGCAACATTTCCTGCCAGGGGGCCACATTTCCTCCCAGCCAGTGGTGGAGCACTGTGGAGCACTAAGGCAGGTCTATTTTGCTGATATACATGGGAATCCTCCACCAGGCAATTTTGGCCTTATCAGGTTGATTAAAAAAAAAAAAAAAGAGAGAGAGAAAGTTTACTTGTAGGTCAAATTCTCTTTCAGAGGGAGAAAGGGTTCTGTTAATACTTTTTCTATATCGACCCTTGCGGAAATAACTTCTAACTGAATGAGTTCATTCATTGATTGTGCTAGCTAACCTTATCACATCTTAATTATAGCACTTCCTCCTGCAAAGAACCCAACAGTTTGGTATATTACATTCTGGATAGAGACTGTTACTATCAATTCTGGGATTCCTGGTCTTTTGGCCACACTTATTTCTTGTGGCTTACTCTATATTATTTATTCTATTCAAATGTGATGTTAGTAATATTTCAACATCATTACTTTAATGCAACCATCTATTTTATGGATAATTAATTAGAACTCTGTGCTATAATTTTCCTTTTAGTCATAGTCTCATTCTGGTTGCCTGTGTAACTGATGTGGGCATGCCTCTTATCAGATAAGTTTTGAATAAAAAGCTTCTGTAAGCACCTGGGCACCAGGTCAGAAAATTTCTCCAGGCTTGCCTTCCTGTCATCTGTCTTAAAGGGCCTCATGAATTTATTCCCCTTTTCTGGACCTGATTATCATTTTATCTTAGCTCCTTTTTCTTGCCTATTTCTATTTGGACTTGGCAGTAGGACTTTGTCCTGTACCTTGATGCTGGTTTGGTAACATATGTAGCTGCATCCAGGATTATATCTTGGTTTCATTCAACTGCTAGAGTAGGTAAGAGATGCTATATTCTTGCATTCACCTATGACCCTCCATAATATCCTTTGCCAGGGATATTGTGCCATATCCCATCTGAGCAAGTACAGAGAAATCCAGCAATGAGATGCCTAGCTATTTGGCTCATAAAGTTACAATTAATGTATTACGGTGTATCTCATTCCAGGGTACCTGGACTGACAGTTAAGTGCCTAAGAGAAAACAGCCACATGTGATCTAAATATAAACCCAGATTTATAAAGGAAACACCCACAAGGGCTGACTTAATTTTTTCTAAGAAAAACTAGAACACAGCAAATGATTATGGCACAAATCTATGTATGTAGATAGAGAATGCAAAACAAAGGAACCATCATGAAAGGATGGGATTAATTGAGAAAGGTTTCCTCAGGGAGGTATTGGGTCTTTGATCTTGATCTATTAGATCACTGTAAATCACTATAGGTGCCAAAGTGAAAGAGCGGCATTGGCATGGCCAGAATTACAGTTGGAGAAACTGGTTGTGGCAGCAACAGATTAGACAGGGGAGAGAAATTAGGATCTCGTCATCCATGATTATGTGGCTAGGAGGTGGGTGGGTAGGAGTGAGGAATGAGGATTTCCACCATATTCTGGTGTATTTAGGAAGAAACACTTTACTGTGAAGCAGTGACAGAAACACGGTTGGACTAGAGCTCTCCGATTTGGATTCTTAGTTTTTGGAGCCTGCTGTGACTCCTCCCTCTCGCCCTTCTGCTCTTGGAGTGACTCCTGGGATCACCTAGGCTTGTTGTAATTAGACATTTCTAAGGAGAATAGGATACAAATGAAGAAATAGTAATGCAATCCTCGGAAGATTTGCATCTCAGTAAAAGCAGCTGGCCCTTAGATCATGGATGGCTCATTTGCCACGCTGGGGAAAAATTAAAAAGGAGATGTCTTTCCTGGCTGGATATTGGCATCTGCTTGTACATTTCGGTATTTCTCCTGCCTCCACTATCAGCACCATAACTGCTGACTCCTCAATGAGTAAAGATGCAGGAGTTACTTTATTTATCTGCCACTGTTGCCTCACTTATTTTAAATTTTGTAGGAATCATTATGAGTCTGTTTATTACAGTGGTCAGTTGCAAAACTTGGGTCAAAAGCCACAGAATCTCCTCTTCTGATAGGATCCTGTTCAGCTTGGGCATCACCAGGTTTCTTCTGCTGGGACTACTTCTGCTGAACACCATCTACGTCATGTCTTCAAATACTGGAAGGTCAGTCTACCTGTCCGCCTTTTTTCTGTTGTGTTGGATGTTTTTGGACTCAACCAGTGTCTGGTTTGTGACCTTGCTCAACAGCTTGTACTGTGTGAAGATTACTAACTTCCAACACTCAGTGTTTCTCCTGCTGAAGCGGAATATCTCCCCAAAGACTCCCAGGCTGCTGCTGGCCTCTGTGCTGATTTCTGCTTTCACCACTTTCCTGTACATCATACTTAGCCTGACATCACCTGTTCCTGAACTTGTGACTAAGAGAAATGACACATCATTTAATGTCAATGATGGCATCTTGTCTTTAGCGGCCTCTTTCTTCTTGAGCTCATTTCTCCAGTTCATCATTAATGTGACTTCGGCTTCCTTGCTAATATACTCCTTGAGGAGGCATATACAGAAGATGCAGAGAAATGCCACTGGTTTCTGGAATCCCCAGATGGAAGCTCATGTAGGTGCTATGAAGCTGATGATCTATTTCCTCATCCTCTACATTCCGTATTCAGTTGCTACACTGCTCCATTATCTCCCCTTTTATGTAGGGATGGGTATGGGGGCCAAATTCATTTGTGTGATTTTTGCCACCCTTTACTCTCCAGGACATTCTGTTCTCATTATTATCACACATCCTAAACTGAAAACAACAGCTAAGAAGATTCTTTGTTTCAAAAAATAGTGGAATTTTAGTAAACAATGCCTAGATTCACCTGATGGTTAAGGGGCAAGATTTTCTGTTGGCAGTTTTCCCAGTAGTCTGAGGAATTCAGTTTTGTGATTGCTGATCTGATATCCTAGGCTTTTCAGTGCCTATATTTCAGTTCATTCTGTAATATTTTTTTTGATATGTAGGTATTTTAAAATAAGGCACATTCTCTAATAAACTTTTTTTAGGCATTATTTATCATGCATTTTGCATGGCCATTGCATCCGCAGATAATGGAAATCACCACAATGTTTCACTGTCTATTAACGCATAATGGGAAATTCTTCTGAATTAGAGAATACATTGGGGTTCACATGAGTTAATGTTTGTGGTTTAGTTGAGGAGCCCTGAGTAAGGGCTCAGCAGTGGATAGGTGGCCAGTGGGAGCCACTAGACTGACTGAAAGCAAAGGAAGGGGGTGCAGTGCAAAGAGAAAAGAAAAAAAGGAAGGTTTCAGAGAGAAAAGAAGGAAAGAGAAAGGTGAAAAGAAATAGGTGTACACTGTGGGACAAGACAGAAAAAGTGTCCCCACACTTGCTGGATAACAGTAACTGAGCTATTCCTACCAAGAAACTCTAAGTTTGTAGACTTGTTCTGGGAAAGAGGATAGTGCCAGAGTTGGTAAGTAGAGGGAAGTGATTAGTATTGAAGAAACTGAGTCCAGAATAGTTCCAAAGATCTTAAAATCCAGGGTAGGCAGCCTAAGGTCAAAGGCAAGTACCAAATAGTTAAATTAACACCATATGAGTGGAAATTTACAAAATATTGTACCTCACCATAGGATATGGAATTCAGTGGAAAGCCAAAGAAGCACTGGACAGGTAGTGGGAGTGCTTGACTTGGGTGAATTTATTTCATCTGCGTCTACATTTGTGCACAGCACAGTTCTTCTCCAGAATGTTGTTTCTCGAGTTAGGACAATAAGACTATGGTTCCAGAAGAAAGAGGGTCTGAAGATGGGGTGTTGACAGGTTTTGGAATGTGAATTGGGGAATCATGATTTGTATTTAGGATTTTTTTGTGTTCATAAAATGCTTATGTAATATTTATACATGTCTAAATAAATCTTAAAGTTTTGTAAATTACCAGACTTTTCTTATTCTGGCCACCAGAATTTTGGCTGCAATATTCAGTAAAAACTACCAAAGCCAGTATTTTGTGCTATGACACCAAGAGGTATTCATCCTGTTAAATCACAAGAGTAATAGATAAAAGGATTACTGAGAGTGATTAAAAGCACACTGTGTCTTAAGAACTCTAAATGGGTGGCAGAAACCCTCATTGGTCCCTCAGTATCTGCTCTGTCTCCTCTCTTCCATAGTAGTCAAATTGTTAGCTATTCAGAATTTTGGCAGCAAATTACATTATTGCAGAAAAGATGTATATAGTTTCTAGGTGGTGCTTCAGAACAGTCCTGCTTTCCCTTCTTTTCTCTTTTCTTCTTTACCCCCTTTATGAGCTGGAATCTGATGTCAGGATTATCTATCTTGGACAGTGCAGATGAGGTGAATGCTTGGGATAGTGGAGTAATTCTCCATCCTAGAGCTGGCTCCATGGTTCTAGACACTGTGGACTTGTCAGTCTGGACTGCTCCAGCCTGAACTCCAGGACTGTTTATGAGAAATCAGTGTCTCCATTCTTTCAGGTGCTGGGTTTTTGGTCTCTGTTACCTTAGTCAAATAACCTATGTTATACTCTAAATATATACTGTATATATAAAGAATATATAATAATTATTATATATTATATGTATAAATATAATATATATTTTGTGGTGAAATAGTTTGTATTTACCATCTTGTAGTCGAAGAACATTTTTTTTTTTTTTTTGAGACGGAGTCTTGCTCTCTCTCCCAGGCTAGAGTGCAGTGGCATGATCTTGGCTCACTGCAACCTCTGCCTCCCAGGTTCAAGTGATTCTCCTGCCTCAGCCTCCTGAGTAGCTGGGACTACAGGTGCCTGCCACTGTGCCTGGCTAATTTTTTTATTTTTAGTAGAGACAGGGTTTCACCATGTTGGTCAGGCCGGTCTCAAACTCCTGACCTTGTGATCCACCCACCTCAGGCTCCCAAATTCTAGGATTAGAGGTGTGAGCCACAGCATCTGGCCCAAAGAACATTGTTATATGACCTACTAAGTGAAATTGAAATAAAATCTGTACATGTGGTATAGTATCATTTTTTGGTAAAAATGAATATATATGAAGAAAAGTCTAAAAGGAAATGCATCAAAATGTAAACAATAATTATTTCAGGTGGTAGGAATTGAATAATTTTTTGTATATTTCAAGTTTTCTGTGATGAACATATTTATATAATCAATAAACATTTTAAAATATATAAAGTATATATAGTCTACCTATCTATCTATCTATCTGTCTATCTATCTGTCTGTCTGTCTGTCTGTCTGTCTATCTACCTACCTACCTACCTATCTTATACCTAAAAGACAGAGAAGGAGTCCTGAGGTCCAAATCCAGTTTGTCCTCACTAAGAAAGGTAAGTGAATTGTCTTCTTGCTTTGTCTGGATTCCTTTTTTTGTATTGGCAAAGTTCTGCCAATTTGTTTCCTGGTTTGTCCTACACTGTCTTCAGCTTTCCCCGCTCTGGATTGGATGTGTTGTCTTTGTGTTAGGACTATTTTTGCTGTTTGAAGAAAGTTTTCAGTCTTTGCTTAGGCATTTGCCCAAAGTCCCCTTTGGGCACAGTTTTTAAGACTACTGTGTGTTTAGAGTTTTCCTGGTTCTAATATGCACTGCTAAATACCCACCACTAACTATTAGCCAGGGACTTAAAAAATTTGGTTTTTGGTTTGATTTTTTCAAGACACAGTAACTTACAGGCTCTCTAATAAAAATGACATCCTGCCTACCCCTCCCTTTCCTGCAGTAGGTAGAGAATAGAGGGAGACTAAAAACTCTTTGTTGGCCGGGCGTGGGGGCTCACGCCTGTAATCCAGGCACTTTGGAGGCCAAGGCGGGCGGATCACCTTAGGTTGGGAGTTCAAGACCAGCCTGACCAACATGGTGAAACCCCATCTTTAAAAAAACAAAACAAAACAAAAAAAACCTCTTTGTTAAGAAGCCACTTTCTGAAGTGAAGGGCAGGTGTCACAACAGTGTAGAACCTCATGAAACACTCATTGTGGTAACTATAACTCACGGTCATTGCCATTTAACTTTTAACTGCTACACGCCCAATACTGTATGAGCTACATTTCCACATGTGACTTTTTTTAAGCTGGTCCTAACCTCTTTAGTATGGTAGTTATTGTCTCCATTATGTAGTTGAGAAAATTAAGGCATAAATAAGCCATATGAATGGTTCATAATAGCAGAACTAGGAAGGAATAGATCCAGAGCTTCAAGTATAGTCTCTGAAAGTATGAAATTATTGTGGGTGCTTGGTTTCCTTAGCTGAAATGAATGTCATGGTGTCACATAGACTCTGGACTTTTAGGCCTTGAGATTTATATGAGATGTGTTTTTAAATGAAAAAGTAGTAACATTAAAGAAGAAAAAATTATTAGATTTCTTTTGAATGTTGCTACTAGGGAAGGAATAGGCCAAAAGAAATATGATGAGAAGGTAGATACAATTTCTGTAAGAACTAAATGAAATTCTTAAAAATTTCAAAGATTTTTAAGGTTTCCTTATATCACTTAAATTTCACTTAAACAAGGTCTGGCTTTGGGTTTCCCTGATCATTGTTACTGGCATTCTGTTGATAAACCATTTTCAATTGTTAAAAAAAGAGAAAAGATAATTAGAAAGGAGTCTTTTAAAGCATGAACAGAATGTAACTTTTAAGGTAGCTTCAAAAGCCACAGTCTTTGGGTGAAATTGAAGCTTGCTGAAGGCATTTAAAATAAAATTTTCAATAATATAATTTTTTTTTTTACAAGTTAAAGCTGGATCATTTAGTTCACTGGTTCTCAGAGAGGGCTGGGAGAGTGAGAAGTACGTCAGAGTCCACTGGGAATTTTTATTTTTCAAATTTTATTTACTCTGCCTTCATTCCTTCTGGGTGTGGGAGTGGAAGGGGGAAGTGGAATTTGACAAAACTTCCTAGGGAATTGGATATTGTGGTCTAAGGAAAGGCACAGATACACATTTATTTCCCCCTCTAAGAGAAGAGCACAAGGCCAATTTTACTCCACGAGGAAAAAAGTGTGAAAAGAAATTCCATGTTGGTATAAGAATTTGCCTGGCATAGAAATTAACAGGAGAGTGATATGGCTTAATGGGGGTGGGAAAGGAGGAGAGGAAAGGGAAGACTTGAGGATAAGGGCAACAGCAGGAGGAGGGGTGCAGTCTGTACACATGCCTGGCGGAGGTGTGAGGTCAACATCACTTCACTACGGTGTAATTGTTATCTGGATTATGTCTATGTGGATATATGGGTCTGGGAAATGGGGTGACTGTAACTGTACCTTGGGTCAGCAGGAAGGAGCCAGGAACCCTGGGAAAATGACCGGGTGTCTGTACAGCTAGTTTGCAAATGAGATATCTAAATATAGGTACATACTTGATTGATCTGATAACATTTCTGACCTATTTTAAATATGGAAAAATTATTTCTTTCAATTTTGCTGCTTTCACAGATGGGACAATGGCTGTGGTTATAATGATCTGAAATCCAGGTGTCTCAAGAGAAGAAATAGCTAGACATTGATATTACTCAGAAAAGATCTCTCCTAACTCCCACCTACCCCTTTACATCTTTGGCTTCTCTGTGTCTTAAAGGCCTGGGTTAATTAGTTTCTCATCTTTATTCATGCTTTCCAGAGATCCTGGAATTGTGTAGAACTGCACAGCTGTGTCTAGAATTAGTAGCTCAGTTCATCTTGGATTTGCATACTGTGAATAACAGACTTCAGGTGCTCTCTGACTTTATTGAAATTAGTACTTAGGGAGAGAAATCGCCAAGGAAGGGAAGAAAAATAACACTAATTAGACTATTTGGGGAGCATCAGGCTACGTAATTTGTTTTATCATCACAATAGCCCTGTGAGGTAAACATTATCATCATCATCATTTTTACAGAGGGGGAAATGAAGCTCAGAAGAGTTAATTGACTTCTTTAAGGACCTAGCTGCTAACTGGTTGAGTTGGGAGCACCCCCAAATCTGTTTGACTTCAAAACACATTGCCGTTCTCTGGATGGCCACAAGTGCCCCATTGATTAATACATCTAACAGAAAGCTGGTCGTGAGGCCTGTGTCCCACTGAGGGCCGGTACTAGCATGAACCTGAGAACTCTCTGCTTTGGATGGGCAGACACCCAGAAAGCCCTGTCTGTATTCTGTGCTGCTTGACCCTTTCCTTAGCATGATTTTGCAGTGTTATGGGAACACCTCAGTGTTCTCTGGATACGCACAATTCTCATTACTAAATGCTAAAAATCTAATTCTCGATGCTAAAAAATGTAATTATGAGATCTGAGTTTTATTTAAATTTCTAAAATAGTGTTTTCATTTCATTTTATTTTATAATATAGAAAAGTTGCAGAGTGAGTACAGAGAGTTCAAATATCATCCTCACCCAGTTTCTGCTAATATTTATATCTTACCATAACCATGGTACAGTTGGACTTAGCATCTCTACTCTGTGTTGCTTTCTCAGCTCTTTTTAAAATTACCTTGACAGTTTTAAAGATTACTATTCAGGCATTTTGTAGACTGTCCCTCAATTTGGGTTTGTCTGATGTTTTTCTCAGTTAGACTGATGTAAAGTGCCCTAGTCATCACGTTAGGAGTTATGTGATATCAACATGACTGGTCACTGGTGACATTAACCTTATCACTTGGTGAAGGTGGTGGTGTCTGCCAGGAACATTGCAAAGTTACTATTTTTTCCCCCATTTCCATACTTGGTTCTTTGGGAGCAAGGCATTAAGTCCAGTCCAAACTCAGAGGGAGGGAAATTAAGCTGCACCTCCTGGAGAGTTCTCCACATTTTGCCTGCTGTAGTTAAAAATTCTCAGCCCTCCAAATTTCATATTCATAAAAGCACACAACTAACTCCCCCTCCCTTCACCTGCAGTCCTCTCACTAGCCCGCTTTTACTCTATTCACTTCCCTTTCCTGAGCAACGCTGCTGATGCGGGTCATCTTCTTCCTCGGGGCTGTGATCTTTGCTGCACACAGCACCTTCCATGGTGTAGTTTGTGCTTCCTCCTCTCTCCCAGCGCCTAAATTGCAGCTCCAAAGAGGCCGCAATGACTGGTGAGCAAGACTCCTCTTCCTCATACGGTTGTGAGGAAGGAAGCGGGCAAGACTATGAATTTGTGTACATTCATAAATTGTGTTCCTGGTACACGTGCTTATGAAAAACATGCTTGATCTGTTCAGTTTCAGCTCATTAAGGGAATTTGTTTGCTTAGGGCAACAGCTTTTATAGAGGAGTTGTCTTGACGCCATCTAGTGGCAAAATAGGCACAATTCTGAGACGCGTTTAAAAAAGTCCCTAGTACAGGAAGAAGGTTTGCAGGTGAGATGTAGAAGAGGGGATAGAAGGTGGAACTGTACTGGGTCTGGTACAGCAGGAGGGGGCAGTTTTTTTTTTTTTGGTGAAAGTGCCAAGTTTTCAAAACCAATGCTTGTTCTTTGTTTCATTCTTTTTAATATTCTTATTATAGACTGCTCTGTTGATGCTGAGTGTGAAGCCATCACTTGCCCCTAGGAGGGTCCCTTCTGATGCTAGCATCCCCCTTGATCTTTCATCAGCTTTCTTTTCTTGGTTCAGGTACTGCCGAAGTATCTGAGGGCTCAGAGCAGTGGGGAATAGGAGCGTGAATAGAAGGGACTTTGGTAGAAAGAGGTATGGTAGTATCATGGCAGACACATTTTGGTCATATCAAAAGTAAAACCCAATACTGTTGCTCTGTTAGAATGAATGGCACTGAGGCTACTATTCTCCACATACACCCCTGCAATGCAGCTCTTGGCGTGGATGCCAATAGGCTGGACAGTTCTGTGTGGAAATTTAAGTAGCAGCCATGGGTCACAGATTTCTCTCCTGCCTGACCTCTCCTAGAATTTATTTTTCAGCAGTTGATGTTTTTCCTGTCTTCTTGTTTTTGCTTGTTTGCTCACCCTATCCTTTCCTTTGTTTTCATTGTCATTGCAGTAAGCCTTTGCACAAATATAAATATAGCTCTCGTGTTTATATATTCAAATTACAAACATATTAAAACCATCAATTACTTGCCTCCCCACCAGAAGGTAAGCTCCATGAGAGCAGCAACTTTGTTTCTTTCCACTGTATCCCAAGACCTTGGAACAGAGGCCTGGCACATAGTAGTCATTCATAAATATTTGCTAAATAATTGATAAATTTCATGCTTTCCCTTTTTA